ATATACTCACCTTGCGTTGACCTACCCATTCTCCAACTTCATTTGAAAGTAATTCATAGACAGATATACAGGGGTAGATAGTTTCAAGTAATGAATCAAAACAAAAGCTTTTCACACAGTATCTTGTCCAGCATCAGAAACAGATCAAGTTTTACCTCATTCCACAGCAGTCAGGGAATAGTTCAGTACCTGCCCTGGGCATTTAAATCTTTCTCAAAGCCTAAAATTTCCCAGTGAATCAGAACTAACTGCTTTCTCACAAATAAAACTACTGCTTTAGAGATAGGACTTAAATCAATACCAGTGTCTCTCCAATAGATAATGACACAAAGGTCCAGTGACCTAGGAGAGCTCATTACCTGAACCCCACCCAGGACTAAACCCTGACCTTCAGTGCATTTGCTCATGATCAAAAATACCCAATGTAGATCTAGTACAAGCAATTATTAGCCATGGTCACTTCTATCTAATGTCCAATTTCCAAATCCAGAGTGAACTATCGGCCAACAGATTTCCCATATCTATTTTAGAACATGCAGAACATCCAGATTCTGGAATCTACTGCATAAAGTAGTAAAACCGAGTAGTGGGAAAGTATATTCTTGCTGATGCACACATATTAAATTTAAGAATTTCCAAAGTGCTATTAATCATTGATAAATATAGTCATGCTGCAAATCCAAAGGGATTACATACAAACACACACACACACACACACACACACACTCATCTTTCTAAAATTCAAATCTGATTATGTTATACCCTGCTGAAAACCAATGACTCCTTCTTACCAACAGGATAAAAGTCAAGGAAAGGGATCATGAAAGATGAATGAATTCTGACCTGCCCATGATTCCACAGATACTGAAAATGGCAAATTTAAGTGGTTCTGTTCAGTTGAAAGTTGAATGTAAAAGGCCTGGAATTCAAAACAGAGATATCGGGCTGGCCGAGTGGCTTGGTTAAGAGCTCACTCAAGAGTTTGAGCTCTGAGCAACAGCGGTTTGATGCCCAGCCCAAGCTGAGTTGCCGATGAGCTGCCAACAGGTAGCAGGATGGCTCAGCTAAAAAAAGAGAGAGAGAGAGAGACAGAGAGAGACAGAGAGAGAGAGAGAGAGAGAGAGAGAGAGAGAGAGAGAGATCTGGGCCTGAGACAGAAATTTGGAGAATAACAGTGTGTCTGTGAGAGTTAAACTGGGTGCACACAAATGCATTGTGCCAAATTAGATTTAAATATTGAAAGATATAAAATCAGCAACATAAGAAAAAGAAGATCAATCACATTTGAAAAAGGACCAAACAAAAAACTCTTAGAAATTGAATTTTCTTTTTTTTAAATCCTTAAATGTGAGGTTAGGTAGAGCTAAAGAATGAATGAAATAGAACACTGAAATTACCTAGGAAGCAGCCCACAAAAAGAGATAGAAAGTGGAAAAAAGTTAGGAGACATGAGAACAGGATAAGAAGGTCAATCATACACATAATGATCCATAGGAGAGGAAAGAAAAGCTGTGTGGTAGGAAACGGAGTAGAGTCAATATTCAATAAGGTAATGGTTGATAATTTTCCAGAATTTATAAAAAATATACGAATCCTAAAATTCATAAAGGACAATAAATCCAAAGCAAGGGGGGCAGAGGGGAAGAAATCCATACCTAGATGCACCATAGAGACACATGCACAATATCTATGAAAAATAAATTATCTCATATCTTATATGAACCAAAGAGAAAAGGCAGATTCCTTTCAAAGGATTCAATTATACTGGTTAGAAGACTTCTCAATAGCTGAACAAAAGCCAGAAAACAATGACAGTATATTTTCGAAGTCTGGGGAAAAAATACCTGTAGTCTTAGAATTTTATACCCAAACTATCACCAAGAATGAGGATAAATAACCCTAAAAGGATTTCACTGATGTTCCCATTGAGGTCCCCTCACCACTGTGGAACCCAAGAATGGTGCACACACACAGTAGAGAGAGAAACTGGTCCCTGGTGATACTTTCAAGTTCCTGTATGTAGGCAACTCTAATATCAGCCTTAATTTTGGACAATACATCTTCATCAACTTGGCTTGTTAAAATATCAGAGTTATCTTTAGCACGTATGCCCCGCTATGGGGCTGATCCCATATCTAGCTTACTTAGAAAATGATTTATCTGAAAGGGACCTTTTGGTAGAGCTTGAATATTAAAAACTAAAAAAAAAAAAAAAACAAGAAAATTAGTCAGAGTCCATTGGATGCAAATTAAGAGAACAAAGGAGAGTGAGTTCAAAGGAATACATGGAAAACAAATTCTGAAGTGGCTTTGACTAAGCAAAGTCATCACCCTTTTCTTGCCTTGGGAGAGCATTTGATTAAGGCCAATCTTTTGCAATTTATTGGCCAGAGGTTCTAAAAGATGCCGATACTTTCCACCAATGTAAGAACTTCAACTACTAGTACAAGTCTCAATTAATTGCATTTATGTTTTTATGATTAGAACAGTATGAGAGTTGGCAGTAAGTAGTTCCTGGATTTCCTGAGGCTACTGGATCACTAGCCTAATCACTGCAAGGAAATTTTGAACAAGCAAATTATATTATTGAGTGCCTGCAATGAAAAACTATGTATTGTTTAGAGTAGACCCTACATATTGCAAACTATGTATTGTTTAGAACATTCCAGATTGGTTCAGTCTAGCCTTTCATTGCCTCTTATACAACTCTTGCAAGTTCTAGATAACTGATAGAAGTGCAAAATCATCTTTGCCTATAAATATGCAAATAATTTCTGTCTAATGTAGGTCCGATTGACATCTCCCCGCCACCACCACCTTGGCAAAGCAGTTTTGTCTATTTGTGAATTCATCTCAACTTTCCTTTATTCCAATACAAATTTGCGTTTCTCTGGATTATAGCATCTGTCTTGTTCACTCATTGAGTTAAGCGAAATCCTTAATTCATGCTCATCTTGTGTCTGTATAAAACCCAGGATTTTATACTTTTTTGAAAAGTATACCTTAACACCATCAGAAACAATACAGTAATTTTAAGAGACCAGGTTTCTAAAGCTTAATTTAAAACAATTCAGTTGTAAAATTTTTGCTTTAAACCAGCTTCTTAATGTAATCAGAAAGTTTCACAGATTTCACTGAAATATAATACAATTCATTAGTTTTATTTAAAATGCATAATGTGATTGAATCTTACAAATAACATTCTGATTAACACGGTTAAAATTAGAAAGAGTCTAAAAGAAATTCCAACAAATCTGCAAACATAAAACACTAATTGCTATACATTTTAATATATTTATGAAGTTACCTGTTAAACCATGATATTCTTAGCATATTAAGTGGAGCGAGATAAAAGGCCTCTTTTGCCTTTTTAGACATACTCCCAAAAGAATCACTTTATAGACAATCTCTTAGCAATAATCTCTCTCAAATCTAATACTCAATATCTAAATTCCAACTGTGTATTAATTTTATAGTGAGCTTGAGTGATATTTTTCCAAAGGTAACAGGCAAAGAGTTCTACTTTTATGTGTATTTAATATGCATTGAATTTCTATCTGTCCAAATTACACAGTCGTCTCTGGGGACTTTTTCAAATTTGTAAAATTTCACTCAAATTCCAAAAAGTTATAAATCCTTTGCTCCTTTATTTCTCCTCACCACCCTTGTAACTTTTCATATTGATATTGCCTCTGCCACAGTTGAGGAGCCTGGAGAAAAGGATGGGGTCACAGGTGAAGCACAAGAACCATGAGAATGTCTTGTAGTCACATGCTCCTGGACCACAGCTTTTACTACATCAAAATACCATTGAGAAGTCATGTTTAAAGATGAAAAATCAAATGTTTCATCTAAGCTATAGAATTCTTACATATGTCTAAAATTAAATAAATTCATAATGTAGGAAGACGAGATGAAATCTGGGACAATTTCCTGACTATATGACACAAATACCTTTAGTCAACATAGGAGAAGTCATAGGCTGTCTTTCCCAGATGAACATTTTTGAACTTTCTGGCCTTCAGATGGCTAGGAAGGCTTAAATGATTCCTTCTGCTGGCCTACCATCCTGGGAGGAAACTCGATTACTTAGATGTTATAATTCCTCTTTAAATAATACCTGTTTTAAGTACTTAACTTTTAGCAAACAGTTAACATGTAAACATTCTATCCTAAAAACAACCTTACAAGTATTTGCATCTGTATTTGTACAAGTAAGGAAAACAGGCCCAAAGAGATAGAGAAACACTGTGCCACTAATAATTAGAAAGACTGAGAATTGGGGCAAAATCTGTCAGACTCTACAAATTACTTCTATTATACTTTATCAAGTCTGTGCAATATTTTCTTTCACTAACTCTCAAATTTAGACTGCAAACTTAAGTTTAATATCTACTACATTATTTATAGAATTTTACACGGTAATATAAGGGGGGGGGGAAGATGTTCTACAGATTACAATAGGCCTTTTGCAATTCTGTGTTTATTTTGGTGAAATAGAAATGAAAACAGAATTTTGTCATCTTAAGATGACTCACTTTAAGGGGCGGGTATGAAAAACTTGCCCGGATGTTTGGCTAGAAAATAAACCACTTCTGAAAACTAAAAAGATAAAAATTGATAGCAGTGAGCCAGAGTTTTGTTAGTTATATATATGACTTTTGAGTGATTTCTTAAGAGATTTTTAGATAACTGCATATTTCATTTCATTCCTTTAAGGTCCATTCATATCCAAACTCTAATGACATTATTACTACATTCTTCTCCAAACAGCTCATATTACATTATGATGATAAATGACTATAGCAAAAGATAAAGTCCAGAAAAGTCTCACAATCTACAATGCTATCAACTTCCTGAAACAAATTACCCTAACATCTTTAGGTTACCATGCCCATTTTAAGTAACTTGACAAATTTAAATATAGTCCCATCAAAATTCAGCAAACGAACCACTCTGTTTGGCCCTTTTTATCCATTCTCAGAAGTATAAATACTTACCCCGTGTTCCTTAGCAGCTGTAACAACTCTAAGGAGGACGTCTTCCTCAACAAAAGGTCTCACAGCATCATGGATAATCACGACTTCTGGTTTAGAGAGCTGAGAATCCGGCTGACCCATGGCCAGTGCCCTTAGTCCACTGAATATTGACCTGTGGCGTGTCACTCCAGCTTCGACTAGTGAGATGCGTTGATGCTGGTACCTCTGAATAATACCCTTCATTGTTTCCATGTTCTCTCTAGTTACTGCCACGACAATGTCCTTTATCCAACATACTCTAAAAGGAAAGTATGTACATGCTTCACATAAATTGATTCTTATACAACTAAAGTTAAGCTGAAACTATAAAACTGAATTTTCAGCAAGTACTAGTATATCTTCATAGATTAAAAACTGAAGTTAGGGCCGGCCGAGTGGCATATTGGTTAAGAACTCGCTTGGGATGCCAGAGGGCCCCGGTTCGGATCCCACATATGAGGGCCAGTGACACTTCTCTCTACAGCTAAGATGCTGAACTACAGCTCAACCTAGAGCTGGGCTTACGAGAGTCGCCGGGGACGGCGTAGGCTGCAGCCCCTGCTGCAGTGGGTTGCCATGGGCTACAGTGTGTAGCCAGCAGCCAGCGTGAGCAGCCAGCAGCCGCAGTGAGCGGCCGTCCAGAAGCCAGTGACTGATCTGACTCGCCCGGGGAAGAGCGCAATGATGGTGCCAACTTGGGCCAGTGAAGCAATGTCCTCCAAACTAGACTGAAGAACAAAACAACAGCAACTTGTCTGTTCCCCTTCCCCCAATTCCCCAGNAGAACAAAACAACAGCAACTTGTCTGTTCCCCTTCCCCCAATTCCCCAGTGCTGTTCCCATCCCCCAATTCCCCAATAAAAATCTTTAAAAAAAAAACCAAAAAAACTGAAGTTAATAACTAAATCAGTTTTATGCATTTTTAGCAAATCTAGTAAATAAGTTGACAAAAAACAATCAGTGAATATGTCACATTACAGATAGAAACGCATAGATATAAATATAGTATTTTATAATATGTAGTGTGAAATACAGATATATATGGTATATAGATAGATATTGGAGATTTCTGACTTTAAAGTTAAATTTGAATAATAACAATTTTAATCAATAGATTAAGAAAAAATGTAACATGAATATGTTTTTAAATTGATTTTTCCAAATAATGTTTTCTCATAGAATAGGAGCAATTCAAAGCATTTTTAAATTCCAAATCCTACCTCTTTCAGGAAGTTCATTGAATTGGCACAAAGCTGGATAACTAACACAAACATTGCCTACATCAAGGTGATATACTGTAGCTTAAATAGGGAAATTATAATAATAAATTGGTATAAATATAAAGCAGGCTTGAATCAAATGGGAAAAACAATTTAATGAAATATAAAATTGAAGGAATCAACCTGTTAAGTCAGATACAAAATATAAAACAATGTTTTTGCTCGCAGTAGAACATTTTCCTAATGAAAGACCTTTGATATACACGTACATTGAGTGATGACCGCATTACAGCAGTTCGGTAGACTGCTTTTGAGCACCAGTGCTGAGGATAATGACTTTGCAGACTCAATGTTCCACAGCCCACAGGCCCAAACCAGGAAAACTCTCTCTGACTCATGTTATCAACTTGAATAAAGGTCACTTTAAAATTTAATAGAATTCTTAGCCTACGAGATTCTATATGTTCAGGCTATATAGTTAAACATCTTAAACACATTTTCAAAGAGATTGAAAGAGGGGCCATGAAATTACTAAGTAATGAAATTAACTCTATTTTATTGAAAAAAACAAACAAATAAAAACATTGGATTGCTTTACTCAATAATTATCAATCTCGTACTTTTCATTATTGAACAAACCCTTCCCATAACCCAAAACCCTATTCTGCTTGTGGCTATAACAATGCTACACTGACGAACAAAACCAAGTGCTATTTTATAGGCACACTGTCTTTTTATTCCTTTAACAAATATTTATTGAGCACCAAATAAATGATCAGCATTAAGCACACAATGGAAAGAGCCACTGCCTTCACAGCGCTCACAGATGAAACAAATAACAACACCCACAAACAATTGCAAGCTGTGACCAAGTGCTGTGAAGATGTCCAAACTCCAGGACCAGCAGAGAAAAGTCTAAGATGATGCTCTCTAAGGAAGCTGAGTTTGCTGTGCAATCCATGTGGGGAGTGGCAGAAAAATGGGCAAAGAGGTTTGGAGGGAGGGAGAGAGGGCTGATTCAAGTGAAGGCCATGACAAGGTCCTGAGGGGCTGGGAGGACATGGAGTCAAGTTCTGAGAGCAAGGAGGAGATGAGCCCGTGAAGAGGCTGGAGGCCCAGGCAAGCCATAAGCACTATGTTTTAAGCATTAGTCATGTTCTAACTCCTGTAATCCTCATAGCACTCTACACTGTCTCTCATAATATGGGAAACAAATCAGAAAGATATCTGATATACAGATACATTAAACCTTATTTTCCTACACGACCATCTTATGCCAAAAAATACTTGAAGAAAAAATGTTTTTTACCATTTTTCATGAATACAACATTCCACTTTCTAGAATGCAGACTCCATGATAGCAGGGACAATCTCTCTTGTTCATTGCTTTACAGCTGATACCTAATAGGTACTCCATTATCTTTTAAATGAATAAATGACTTTGGTCTGTCTTATCTACCAGAAGCAGTATGACATCTTACAACACTGTATAGTTTCAAAGATTATACAATCATAGGAAGCTCTCTTCATTAACCTGGTTAGCTATAAAAATCAAGAATGAAAACAGCCTTCACCAGGCAACGTGATTTTGTTGATTGTTTTGTTTCAAGGTGTTTGATTCTTTACTATTATTTCCAGATCCTAAGGCTTCTAAAGGGCCAGGATTATGTTATGTCAGACACCTGCGGGAATTTTAATTACAAATAAACAAAGACAATGCAATAATCCACAGAACACCAAAGAATAAAATAAGTAGTAATCAGCGTAGGCGAGAGACAGGATCCAGAATAAGGCTAAGTGTATCTGGAATAAGGCTAAGTGTAAGTTGCTCTTTGTTTTATAGCTATAGCTCATTCATCCTCCACTCCTTTCATTGCAAATACAACAATCGATGGAACTTACACTGTACTTACATGGTTTGGAATTTATACTGTACTTAACAAAGTCCTTAGCAAATGACAGTGACAGGTCCTCAGCGTCCCCTCAATGTGAGGTTTCCCAAGGTTCTGTCTCCACAGTCACAGCTGTGATCCAGGCAGTCATCTCTCCCATAATTTATTAGCTGATCTCCTTCTTCTCATCTTCTCCCAACACAATCCATTCTCACCACTTCGCGATGATTTTCCTCAAGTGCAAACCTGAGACAACCCCCTGCTGGCTCTTAAGCAGGGCCCTTCAAGGCCTGGCTCCAGCCCACTTCTCCCTGCACCACTTGGTCTCGCCCATGACCCTCTTATGATACTGACCACATTCTCTCTCACCCCCATGCTTCGCTTGTGCTGCTTCCTTTGCTTTTCAACACCATCCTCTCACTCCCCATCCCCATCCACACTCCAGGCTGAGTCCTCTTTCTTCAAATTTCAATTCAGATATGACCTCCTCCAGGAAGCTTTCCTTGCCATTCTGGGTGAGGCATCACTGCTCTTGGCTTCCAGATGACTCTTACCACCAGAGTCTTATCAAGTACCATACCGTATTCTGTTTATTTTCCAGCTCCCTCAGTAGACTGCTAACTCAGAGAGAGCAAAGACTACACCCCAGGATTTGGCACCTGCTAAGGGTTCAGTAATATTAATAGAAGCAGCAACTAAGATGTATGGATTGTTTGCTAGGTGCTATGTACTGTGTAGAGAGCATTTGCCTGCGATATCCTGCACTAGCTTACTTAACGCGTGAGCCCTATGAGAGAAGTCACTGTTATAATTCCCATTTTACAGAGGACACAGGCAGTGACCTGCCTCTGATCACACAGGTAGAAAATGAAGGGACCTGGATGGACTCCAATCTGACTTTGGAGCTCACATCGTTAGCCTCTGTGAATGCACTAGCACCGTCTCTGAAAGAGAGGTAATAACATTTAGAAGAGAAAAGATTATGTCTGGATCATTGTGCCTCCAACACTCCATCTGTTATTAGTGATAAATATATTAATATTGCTTCATTTGTGGTCAAAAAAAGGTCAAATGGGGCCAGCCGAGTGGCGCATTGGTTAAGAGCTGGCTTGGGGCGCCATCTCTGAGCAGCAGGGCCCCAGTTCGAATCCCCCATGAGGGCCAGTGACACTGCCCTCTACAGCTAAGATGGTGAACAACAGCTCGACCTGGAGCTGGGCTACCGTGAGTCGCCAGCAACGGCGTAGGCTGCAGCCCCTGCTGCAGTGGGCTGCCATAAGCTACCGTGTGTGGCTGGCAGCCAGCGTGAGCAGCCAGCAGCCACTGTGAGTGGCCATCCAGAGGCAGGCAACCGATCTGCCTCACCCAGGAAGAGCGCAATGATAATACAAACATGGGCCAGTGAAGCAACATCCTCCACAACTAGACTGAAGAACAAAAGGACAGCAACTTGTCTGTTTCCCTCCCCCTGATTCCCCAGCACTGTTCCTCTCCCCTAATTCCCCAATAAAATCTTAAAAAAAAAGTCAAATGTCTTTTTTTTTTTTTTTTTTTTTTAGCTGAGCCATCCTGCCACCTGTTGGCAGCTCAACAGCAGCTCAGCTCGGGCCAGGCATCAAACCACTGTTGCTCAGAGCTCGCACTCTTGTGCGAACTCTTAACCAACTAGCCACTGGTCTGGCCCCTTATAATTTCTTATAATTCAAGCAAAATTTCTTATAATTCCTTCATTCATGTGTTCATTGCCATTCAACAAACATCAAGCATCTAGCATTTGCCACGCACTATGCTAGACACTGGTGATACAATAGTGAATGAAGACAAGCAGAATTCCTGACCTCAAAGACCATATGTCAATAAATATCTGTTAAATGAATAGAGAAGAGAAAGCTTAAATGATTAGAAAGGAATAAAAACTGCTCTTAAGTTTATTTACAGAAAAGAACTTTTTAATCAAATATTTCAGTTGTTTATTAATACAACATCACGCTATTGTTTTTAAGATAGAGAAATTATAAAAACATGTTCAACTACATTAATGAGCAGGATTGTTCAATAAGAGCTTAATTTCTACCTTAAGCTATTCACATCCATTGCTTTTCACTCTATACTCTAAGAGAAAAATAAGTTAAAAGCAATTTTTAAAG